AAGGTTAACCCTGCCTGCTTTAAATGTTTCACAATGATTAACACTTGAAAACATCCGTTAGAAATTTTGAAAAATAATCAAAAAGTGATCAGATGTAATCAGTTACATTACTTTAATAAAGTAATTTAAATAGTTACTACTACTTACTTTAATTTTTTTAATTGGGTAACTTGTAATCTGTAACCTATTACATTTCACAAGAAACCTTCCCAACACTGATCATAGGCTTCTCCATAACACAAGCAACATCATGCTGCCTTCTAAGATGCCTTCTTATCATATATTCTTATTATTTACATTTAGTCATTTAGCAGACGCTTTTATCCAAAGCGACTAACAATAATGTGTTTTTTGAACCTTAAACCGCATAAACACATTACACCAAATACACAAAATAATGTTCTTTTTAGCAACATCATATGACCCCTTTAACGCAGTACACGTACTGTAGCAAGGTTTTTTTTAATTATATAATAAATAAAAAGAAAACAGATAGAATAGAAAAAGAATAGAGCAAGCTAGTGTTAGAGGCCTTTTTTACTTTTGTTAATTGTATAATCAATAAAAAGAAAACAAATAGATAGAATACAAAAACATTGGAAAAGCTAGTGTTGTTTTTTTTGTTGTTGTTGTTGTTTTTAAACAAGCAGTAAATGAATAGAGTGCAAGTTTAAAAGGGACAAGGTTTTTTTTTTTTAAGAATATAATTAGAATAGAGAGTGCTAGAGTTATAGGGTCAAATAAAGATGGAAGAGATGTGTTTTTAGCCGATTCTTGAAGATGGCTAAGGACTCAGCTGCTTGGATTGAGTTGGGCAGGTCATTCCACCAGCAGGGAACATTTAATGTAAAAGTCCGTGAAAGTGATTTTGTGCCTCTTTGGGATGGCACAATAAAGCGACGTTCACTTGCAGAACGCAAGCTTCTAGAGGGCACATAACTCTGAAGTAATGAATTTAGGTAAAGGGGTGCAGACCCAGTGGTGGTTTTGTAGGCAAACATTAATGCCTTGAATTTTATGCGAACAGAGGTGTGACATGCATTATTTTCGGCTCATTAAAAATGTATCTTGCTGTTGTGTTCTGGATTAATTGTAAAGGTTTGATAGAACTGACTGGAAAACCTGCCAAGAGCATTGCAATAGTCCAGCCTGGACAGAACAAGAGCTTGAACAAGGAGTTGTGAAACAGTTCCGAAAGAAAGGGCCTGATCTTCTTGATGTTGAACAAAGTAAATCTGCAGAACCGGGCAGTTTTAGCAATGTGGTCTGAGAAAGTCAGCTGATCATCAATCATAACTCCAAGGTTTCTGGCTGTTTTTGAAGAAGTTATGGTTGATGTGCCTAACTGGGTGTTGAAATTGTGATGAAAAGATGGGTTTGATGGAACCACAAGCAGTTCTGTCTTGGCAAGGTTGAGTTGATGGTCCTTCATCTATCCTTCGTCCCTATTATATATTACAAATCTTTCCTATATATCCTTTCTAATCCCAAAATGCATTGCAACAAGCTCAATATTGTTTAAGAATTGGGCTAAAACAAAAACATATTTTAGGCAAGGTAAATAATTTTACAACTCATGCTTACTTATAAAGAAATAATCAAAATACTATATACAGTATGTGATATATCAATTGTTGACTTGTCCGTGTTCTCTCCTGTATGTAAGATGTTCTAAATCAGTCACTTATGAGGTTTTATTTCAGTTAGTGTGCTGCCTTAGAATGTAGGGAGCAAGACTGCTCACTAGGTTTTAGAACTGCGCTTTTGGCTCTAGGTGTACTGAATTTGTGTATTTATATTCTGAACTGACATGACTACCTGGCTGAATTGATGATAAACCACTAAGGGCCAAATACCTACGATAAGAATGAATAAACAGTCTCAAAGGTTAGCATACAAACTGTTTTCTACACACAACTTTTGGATCTTTGATGCAGCTTGATATTAAACAATATTGACTCTCGAGTCACGTCAAAGAAAATACACACACATTCACAGACAAGTACCCCTTCCAGCCCATTAATATTTTAGATGATTTGATTACATAATGATAGTAGACTGGTACTTCAGACAGATTTGATAAGAATGAACTTAAAATGGCTGCCTTGGCTAAAAAAAAAACCGCCCACAGCGCCTCTGAAGTGGATAGTTATGTAAAGGCTCTGTCATTCCTAGCCTCCATGGGATGGCATGTACCCTGTCTAATCCCAGTCTAAATATTATGCTAATGACTAGCCGGAGCCCACGATAATACAACTCATAGTGTGCAGTGATATGTTGAGTTGACGTGTTTCAGACCTCTCTTGTTTGTGAAGGTGAGCTTCATTTCCTCCAAGATCCAAAGAGGGGATTTTTTTTAAGGTTGTGTTGGTGCCATGTTTATGAATGCATAAAGGGTGACATTTGAATTGCACGGACAAAGCGTGACATTTGTATTGGTGCATAGCTGGCTATGCAAGTGTGTATGGCAGTTTATTATTCCACATATATTTTGTTGCAGTTTGTATTCTGTCATAAGAGTACTTTAATGGGAAACTTCAAAAGCATCAAAGTATTTTACATTCCCGCCCTCCGATCCCCTTCATATCATGTTTTGATTGAGCAGGAAATCATTTTCCAACACACTCTTACAGGGGACCGGGATATTTTGATCTCTGTGGAGAAGTTTTTTTGTTGTTTTTTCTCACAGGTAGCTTGACGTATTTCAGGAAGTATTGCTTTTTCTCTCAACACTGTTGTTTTATTGGGCAAATAAATCAATAGTTGTTTTCTGTTGTTATCCAAATCGAGAGGAAAAATGAGCACAGTGGGGCAACGAATTGTTTGTTTATGCGGCACACATTAGCTAAGTGTAATTAGAGTTTGGTGAACAGATTTGTGTTTGGGTATTAAAGCATAGCCCTAAATTACTCGTCTGAATCATGATTGTTTACTCCTTGCTGTGTTTCTATGTAAAAACTTGTTTTTTGTTGCTTGTTTGTGTGTGTGTGTGTGTGTGTGTGTGTGTTCCTGTTGCATTGTATTAGTAATTGATTTTCACATTTTTTTTTAGTGGGTCTAACTGATGTTTACTTAAAGGGGTCATATAGAAGATCTGTAAAGTTGCAAAGACTAAAGTCTCAAATCCAAAGAGATATTCTTTATAAAAGTTAAGAGTCAACCACGCCTACCTAAAACAGCTCATTCTAACACGCCCCCACATATCTATGTCACTATGTGGAAATATTAGCATAAAGCTGCCCAAATGTTCATGCAAAGAAAGAAGGCGTGGTTTCAGGAACAGCAGTAGTGTTGATGCAGCCATGTCAGGGAGACGCTATTTCAGTGCGAAAGCAAAAGCACTTTATTTGGCCTTCCGGAAGTAGATGCAATTAGGAATCATTGGCTAAGATTTATTTACAATAGAACAGCACATGTTCGAATTTGTGCAACGCATTTTATGGACGACAGTTTTTGAACCTAGAAGAGTACAAGGCTGGCTGTGCACAAAGCACAACCCAGATGTTCGAATTTGTGCAACGCATTTTATGGACGACTATTTCTATTTTACGAAGGCTATTTCTAAAAAAAAAAAAAGGGTCAGTTCCAGCTTTGCTATGACAATCTGGCGCTTCTGAATCAGCTACTGTTTTGTTATTAGTTTAAGTATTTGCTATTGACTGTTCAAATGCTGAGTTTTGCGCAGCGCAGAGTAACGGGTTGTGTGTGTGTGTGTGTGTGTGTGTGTGTGTGTGAGGGGAACAGGGTCACATCACAGGAGAGTGAACTGCCTGTCAGAAATCATAGCACGTCAGCTGTCTTAACCGCGGCTTGTGTACTGCATCATTACTGTGTCTGTCACGCGACTCTGTTCCCCTTTCGGGCTCTGTCTTTACATTTATTTTGAAAGATGAAGCTCGTGATTATGGTAAGGGGCGTTACATTTCCGACGCGTGCTTGTGGTGTTTGGCCAATCACAATGCACTGGGTCAGTTGGCCAATCAGAGCAGACTGCGCTTGACAAAGGAGGGGGGTTTGTTGTGTGACGTGTTTGAGAGAGGCGGGGCATAGAGGACCTACAATAATGTACAGTATTTGAAAAATAATGTGTTTTTTGAACATTAAAGCATGTCAACATATTCTGTTACACCAAATACACAAAATAATAAACTTTAAAATAGCGTCATATGACCCCTTTAACATTAAAATATGAAGTATTCAGCAAATTTGGTGTTTCATATTCTGATTGCAACTTGCTGTGGTTTGTGTGTTTGTGTGTCTGACAATATGAGCTGTGTTGCAAAAGCCAAGCATTGTTAGACTAAAATGTGTCATGGCTTTTCAGAATAAATATTAACAATAACACCGCATGGAAAGGCCAATAGATAAATCTATCAGCTCACTCACTGTATTCCAATCGGGGCAGCTGGTCTCATTAAATTCTGATGCAATTGGATGAGAAAATGGTTGCATCTTTGCATTGAATCCGGAGAGTATTGAGTTCTAAGAGGACAGCGTATGGGTCGCAAATTTAACTAGCTATCAAACGGCACCAACCAAACACATCAGAGATCTCTGTCACATGAAAGGAATAACATGAATATGTTGCGTCTGTTCAAATCAAATAACTAGTTTTTACAAAGACAACAAAGATTAATTCAGTTTTTTTTATAGTTTTGAAAAAAAAATTCTTATGATCACCAAGGTTGCATTTATTTGATTAAAAAAAAGCAGTTAAAAAAAAAAACAGTCCGAGTTCCAAGTCTAAGCATTGTCAAGTTAATCACCATTTATTATTATTTAAGTATACAGGAAACTGATATTAACAGTTCACATTTATGATTTTTCTTTTTTTTCAGTAGATGGATGTGAAAAAAGAAAAAGACATTAGAAAGAAACTCCCTCTGCTTATGTTCTGAAATAAACTCATTTACGTGTAAAAATCTATAGGCTGTTAGTGTAATCAATAGTTCTTTATGTGCACGCCATGAACTTACTGTGACCTTTCTGCATTTCTTCAGCTCGCCACTTGGGACCCCATCCACGGACTGAACGGGACACTGACAGATCGAAAGCTGGAGAACAACATGCGCGGGGTGGTCCTACGGGTGGTCACTGTACTGGTACGTACCGTTACAGCTAGTAATGTCAAGTTAAGGGCTTTACACGTCATCTCACAGCTACAATAGTCCTCATAACTACAAAGTTTTACAAGATGTCAGTGCTCTATTATTCACCGTTGCTCAGAGATGTCTTTCCCTTGACCTCTCTAATATAAATGGCATCAGACTGACTTAATTAGGACTTCCCATGTCTCGGAGTTCCTCTGTTTGACTGGACCTCATAAGGTTGAAGTAACCCCAGAGTAATCCATATTCATTCCAGTGAGCTCCAGAAGTCTGTTCACATCAAGTCACCCGTCTCTAAGTTCATTAAGAGTGAATTTTGGGGTGGGATGAACGTAGACCAGGGGAGCTGGGTTATAATGAGATTTGAGTTTTGCTATCTACCCTCCAGCGCTGATTTGTCCCTGGAGTTCTTTAAAGATTCAGCGGTTTAAATTCTTCATATCCCTGCTTTAAAGTCGGTCGGAGAAGAAAGCGGTGATGCTGCTTCTCTGCGTCTTTCCTCTCACTCTCCTTTACCCCTCTTTTTCCTTTATTCTGTGATTTCCCGCTGTGACAGAATGCTCTGTGAAGAACTTGCGCCCACAGTCGCTAACAATGAGCAATCGTTGGAGGCTGTCACGTTAATGCACCTCCCCTAGTGGCGGATGAGGTTGGAGGGGTATAGAACTGAATGCACCCATGCACATGTTGGCAAACTGTAGATACTGGAGGACAGTAAGAGGGTATCACAGTTTAAATTGAGAACTGAAACATTGTGTGGCCCAGACAGTATCTGGAGACTTCTGTAAATATGGGAAATTGTGTATCGTCTTACTGGTCACTGACTGCATAATCACATTACAGTAGATCAAATATTTAACAAACAAACAAACACACTAGCACTTAGAGGATCTGTGGAATGTATAAAAGATGAGTTTTTATTAAGTCTAAATAAGTTTCTTAGCTCCTGTAAAATTTGCAGACAGTGAACCAATTGAACTTGAACTAAGTTACAACAATTGCCTTATGATATATGTGTAGAGTTTGTTGTTACAGTACTTTTTTTGTCATTTTACACATTATTATAAACTAAAATGTTATTTTTGTTGAAGAATACAGTAATACATTTTTTAATTGATCCCATGGGGTGACTTATTGATCTCGTGGGGTATCTCTGATATTATTTCCTGCAAGTCTTAATGCTCAAATCTGATTTTTATTTTTTTTTATTTTTTTTATTTTTTTTGTGGCCAGTATCAGATTTGAGTATAAACTGTTCATGGCCCCTAACTGACATAGGGACTTAAACATGGAGGACACTGAAATCAGCGCGTAAAGTGCCCCTATTATGCCATTTTTAAGGTTGCTAATATTGTTTTATGAGTCTCCTAAAACAGGTTTACATGCATGCAAGGTCAAAAAACACATTAGTTTTCTAAAAAAAAATTGATTTAATTTTACCTCCTTTCTAAATTATTCGTAAACGACTCGTGCGAAGCAGTTCAAAGAATCAGTCTCTCTAAACCCCTCCTTTCCTTGAGCCCTCACTGCTGTGATTGGTCAGATGGCGCAGTCCCTTGTGATTGGTCCAGAGCCGTAGAGAGATTGGCTCTGGATTGGTCTACCGCATACAGCACGTGTCAGAAACGAAACGTCCATTGCCATAACGGAATGACAGCCCTAGAGACTTTTGATGTCCTAGAGTGCGAAATTGTCATTTCTAGTTCAAACATTGCATTAAAATCAGGATGAATCGTTCCTCAAAAATTAAAGAAAAAACGAAGAAAGATAGAGTGCCAGTGCAGTACCATATAGCCTTGTGGTAAAGCATATGGTTAGGGAGGCGGGGAGCTTGGAACCATGGGATATGTTGTCATTTGTAAAGTAAACCTTCAGGTGGATGGGGAAGGCACATGCTCCCTGCTGGTGGCTGATGGAGCGCTCCCTTCGGTCTTACAGCTAGTTGGTAACGGCCCGCCGGATCCTTGCAACTTAAACTCCCTGCTGCTCCCAGCTGCCCCAGTGGCAGGCGTGTCAGGATACGCGACGTGCCAGCTCTGACAGCTCTTCACCAGTCTGAGAAATGCTGGTGCTATTCCAAACACTAAAACTGACTGAGAACACACACACACATCTGCCGTGAAACCTTGCAGTCTCAATGCACCATGACACATGTTTTTGATTCACTCACCAGTGGATCATAGCTGCATGCATGAGAGAATCTTCAAAACGTCTGTAGAAGATGGAAGACTGAAGTAGTATAGTATATTCGTATGAATTAATAATGAAGTTATATGAATTTTTAATCCATTATATGAATTAATATGAATTATTAATAAACACATATATAGACAAAAAATTATAAATATTGTTTTAATTCATTCATAATCTTCATTGCATTGTTTGATATTATCACATGAGATTTTACAACCTAAACTAACCTTGTCATAAAAATTTTGAAATTATGTTTAAAGAGACTTATTGATCTCGACAGGAGCCTGCGGGGATCCTCTCTATGATACCATTTCCTGTTCTGTGTTCCTGCACTGTATGAAAGTTTTTTTCAGATGTAATTTTTTCTTAGAAAAAATTAAATTTCTAAATTTCTTAGTAAAAAGTATATCATAATTTTAACTATATTTTGATATATACTATATCCGAGATGTAGATGAGTTTGTTTCTTCATTGGAACAGATTTGGAGAAATGTATCAAATCACTTGCACATCAATGGATCCTCTGTAGTGAATGGGTGCCGTCAGAATGAGAGTCCAAACAGTTGATAAAAAAAAAAACCATTACAATAATCCACATGACTCCAGTCCATCAATTAATGTCTTGTGAAGTGAAAAGCTGTGACTGTGTAAGAGACAAATCCATAATTAAGGCGTTTTAACTTAATCTCTTCTAACTATCTCTTCTCTTCTGAAGTCCATAATCCAAAATAATGCTTTCTGTAGTGAAAAAGTCCTTCCCCTTTTAATAATGTAGTCCCCATCTTAATGGTGAATGTGTTTATTGCAAACACAGCAATTTGCTTCACAAGATGTTAATTAATGGACTGGAGTCATGTGGATTACTTCTGAATTACTGTGATGTTTTTATCAGCTGTTTGCACTCTCATTCTGACGGCACCCATTCACTGCAGAGGATCCATTGGTGACCAAGTGATGTAATGCTAGATTGCTCCAAATCTGTTCCACTGAAGAAACAAACTCATCTCTCTTAAATAGCCTGAGGGTGAGGAAATTGTCAGCTAATTTTCACTTCTAGATGAGCAATTCCTTTAACAAATAGTGTCACGACATCAACCATGCATACACGCAGCAACAGTGCTTACAGAATGATGTTTATGTTAGCAACATGCATTGTTGCAACAATAGCCTGTGTTGATCCATGCCTGCTATTGATTTCCATAGTAGCGGCACAGATTGTCCACAAGATCCGTGTGAATTTGAACCACTGCACATGCAGTCGTGTGGAAGGGATGGCCGTATAATGAGAGAGGGAATCGATGCAACATGGGTTGAACACGGGTGTGGGGAGCCATACCCCTTCTGGGCCGGCTCAATAAGAGCAAGGCTACATCTCAGTACAGATAAAAAACCACACTGGAGGAATCCTGTTAAAAGGGTCATTGTCGCTGTGCTTTTGCCCTCGGTCTAAGTGCTATAGATATTCTTCAGATCATGCTGATGGCCAATTGAAGAATTGGAAGAATCCGGCAGGGGTCTTGCACAGGCACCTCAGAGGGAAGTCTGATAGATGGCACCTCTTGGCTATAGTGCGAGTTGGCATGCATATCCTCACTTCCTCTAATAGCTTATTGAGCGAGGGGGGTCTGGTGAGGATTAGAAAGCGCTGGCTTAATGTGCAGGCTGCATGCAGTCAATAAAGGCAGCTCCTTCCATGATAAATCTGCCTGACATATTCCCAGAAACACTTCAGACATCAATAGGGATTTGTTTAAGAGAATATGAAAAATAAACAGCGGGCTATTATTTTCACTGGGCCGCTGGCGCTACGCTAGCGTGGTATTGGTTCACGATGGTACGTTTGCGGAGCTGTTGGAGACTCTGGAAGGAGATGTTTGCTGGTCACATGATGGTTGGTCATTGGCCTTTAGATAGCAGCTGTGTGTTGAATACAGCCATTCAGGCCTAGCTAAGTTGAGCTTCTCCAACGTCCGACTTTGCAAGATTGAGTTCAGCAAATTTGTTTGTGCAGATAAACAAAGTTATGTAATTCATTGGTGTTGTCAAGTGATTGGATGTTATGTTAGAGTGATTTCTAATGGACTTCAACAAAAAGTTCTAGTTTGTGATGTTCAGTAAACTAGGAAGTCAACTACAGTAGATTCAAACCTAATGATGTTAAAGGGAAAGGAAAGAGATGTTTAAAAAAATGTCAGCTTTTGCTCCATTTCTGTTCCAACCGGTCTGTGGTTCAGTTTTTTTTTAAATTATTTCTTTATTTTGCATTTAGACTAAAATGTATAAGTCGTTATTCACTGATAAGGGAAGGGAGGGAGTTTTTTCTCAAAATAAGGACCTATTCCTCACACAGATTATATGGCTACAGAAGACTTTGAACTTTTTTTTTTTTTGAGTTTTCAGAGTTGACATGAACAGTAGTTCTATAGAAAAAAAGGAACATTTAATTTCTGTAAAATTTCGCCTTTTGTGTCCCATAGAAATGTTAACATCATACAAGTTTGAAATGACGTGAGATGGAGTAAATGTCTCTGTTTAATTTGACAGTGTTTTTCTTCTGGTTCTGTTTGGAATGTAGCACCCAGAATACATTGATTCTTTGTAGCTTTTAAGATGTGAAGAGCTTGAAAGTCTTGAGTCTGAAAAAATTTTGAATAAATGGTTGTATGTTGAATGAATATAGCTTTTGAGAGGTATATTTTGAGAGTGTGTGTTAAGAAAAATAAGAACTGGGGCTACCTTTGGTCTTTTTGGTTTTGATCAAGATGGCTAGATGAACCATATGTGCCCACTGTGATGCTTTAATCTGGTTCTGAAGACTTCTTTCCTTTGTAATTTCGAGTTTTCGGTTACTTTCAGAACCTAGAGTTGTGGCCTTCAAGTTAGTCTTGAACAGTCCTTCTTTTAGAAGCCTCATGATTTTCAGAAACCCCCTCAATATTTTTCATTCTACCCTCCCAGAAGTTCAACTGATAGGGTTGTGAGAGAATAGTGCAAATGTACATATATCTCTGTCATACTTCCATAGTTTTGGGAACTTGCTTGTCCTTGAGTCTTTTCTTTTCAGCATTACTGAGGACGTTTCCACTGTTCACATAGAGTCCTCGCTAAACTTCCTCCTTATAAAAATAAGCATTTTCTCTGTGTGACCTTCAGAAACTCTCCAGAGCCAGTTTGGCAGTGTATGACAATGTTTGTAGACCTTTTATGAAATACCAGTAGGCCCAAGGCTCAGACTAAATCCAAATCGCATCATATCCACCTCCACAATAGTCTGCCAAACTGGTTTTGGAGATCCAAGGAGACTCCGCTCATCTTTATCAGTGGAGAACGACTAATCTATTGAAATGGCGGCCGGTCTCGCTGCTTCAGAGGAATGGTTTCTTCAGCCATAGGCAGAGCTAATGCTTGTATGATGAGTATGAATCCGGGTATATATGAAGAGTTCATTTGCAAAAACCGATAAACGCCACTTTAAAAAAAAATGCAATGCCTTGCATTATTCACCACATATAGCGCGATCTGAACCCTAAACACGTTTTGTCAAAAAAGCCGGTTTTGTCCACTTTCAAAGCATCGCGAGTTCACGTTTTACTGCAGAAGCCGACAAGTGCCCTTGTTGTTTTTGAACAGAAGCCGATAAGTCCATTTTAGCGAATCAGCGCGCTGTATTCAGGTGACAAGGCTACTTTCACTTTGAAAAGACGCGCTAGCTGAGAGGAGTTTCTTCAAAGCTGACTAAAAATGATCGAGGATGGATAATTTCGACGAACTTGATGAACCTGTGATATCTTCTTCAGGGCGAAAAAGGAAAATAAAAGCTGAAACGTTTTTACGGAACGTTGCAAAAGCAGCGCGTTACAATGGTGAGGGGAAAAACTCCGTGTATTATAAGTTATTATTACTTAATCAAAACAACCCAACTGCAGTTTGATTGATATTAATGTTACTTGGAATGCGCAATAAAAAAATTTGATTTCTGAAAAAAAAAATAATAAATTTTTCGGTTTTTGCAAATGAACTCTTCATATTTTTCCTTTAAAATCCTTTTCGTAAAGACTTAATTTATTTGATGTGAGCACAGTAAAACCTTAAATCCGTAATTGAGCATTAGAGATCTTATGAGTCAGTAACCCACTATGAATAATGTATGACTGACAAGCACCGTCAAGTTAAGTAATGTTTTGATAAATGTGAATCTTTATATAGAATTGAGAGAATGGTTTGTTCTGACCCCTTTCGTACTGAACTTAACGTTTTTGTTATTATTTCCGAGTATTCATGCCTTCATTTTCATTCCAGGAATTTATGAACTAAACTGTTTGAAGTGAACCATGTAAATGTCTGGAGAAACTCCACTTTCACTACTTTTAGTATGATAATGTTGGAACGCTAATAATTTAGCATGTCACTGCTGAGGAAGTGCTGTTAAGGCCGATCTGCCCTGGTGTGACAGTGAGACAGTTTCCTCTTTGAAATGAATCAGAGATCGTCACTAGATGTTCTTTACCCAAATATACCATTTCATTTGATTTGTTTCCTATTTATTTGATCAAAATTGACATTATCATTATCGTAGCATTATCATATAAATAATTTATAGATTTTACGTATTAAATATAAACAAATATATCAAAACAGGAAAAAACAGAAAAATAAACATGCCTATTTTAAAGAATAATTTATGCAGTCTTGACATAATGTTAATTTAAAAAATATACATCTACACTTTTCTATTCGTTGCCCTTCTGTTTGTCAAGAGAACAGTCGTCTTATATTTATGAAAATATTTATACAATTAAGCTTTAATTTTTTATATAAATAAAAACTACTACTGTGTATTGGTATTTTCTTTCTTTTTTGAGCTTATTTTCTGTGACAGTCTTGATGAGTTAATAGTATCATAAAGATTATTCGTGATTTTTTTTTTTTCTAAAGGCCTGCTGTGTCATATACTGTATATCCTTTTCCAGGGTTCCTTTAGTTCCTCTCTGGCTGGAGTTCAAACCCGTAGTCTTTGTAAGATCAGCCCAGATCCTCCTGTATTCTCTGTAAAATTCACTCAACTACCCTAAACAAAGCTATACATATTTACTTTCCTCACATTACTCTTGATTGGATATGATGTGGCACTAATTCCCCTCTGACTTTTTTCTCTGAATTATTCCACAGCTCATAAGAGGAGGTTAAAGCCAAGTGACATTAAGCTTTAGCCCATATACAGCAGCATTGCCTCCTGCTGAAAATAAAATCAAATTATGAGCATTAGCTAAGCTGCTGTAGGAGCTTATGCGTCTGCTTCAGGTAAACACTTGTGTCAGCTCCAGAAACAGATCTGCCACCCTCAGAATCATGAACGTCAAGCTGTGTTCTCAGTAGACTATTTATGATACCCTGTTGACTCTAAAACCGGTGCCCTCACTTACCTCAATGTCCGTAGGCATTACCGTTGGACTGTTTTTGTATGTGTCTCTTAATACTCTGTGACTGTTTTTGTTGCTTTTAGCTCAATGATTTAAGTCCCTTTATAAGCTGATATAATGATTTCTCTGCTATTGCTCTTTCCAGGAAGAACCATTTGTGATGGTCTCAGAAAATGTGCTTGGCAAACCTAAGCAGTACCAGGGTTTCTCAATCGATGTACTGGATGCTCTGGCCAACTACCTTGGCTTCAAATATGAGATCTACGTGGCCCCTGATCACAAATATGGCAGCCAGCAGGCTGATGGAACCTGGAATGGTCTTATAGGAGAACTGGTTTCTAAGGTAAGACACAATGTCTATCTGGATGTGCAAAATATTGAATTGGGGAGCGTGACTTTAAATTGCATTTAGCTACACCCTCAGGAAGTTGGATTGGAATGACAGAAGAAAACTTTATTCGTTGCAATTTAGGGAATGATGGTATTTCCACCCTAGTCCTCAAAATCAATCAATTGTGCAATATGTCTGTGTGTCTATCTATCTGTCTGACTTCAAACTTCACCCTTGTATAACTGACATGTTTAAAATTCAGTTTTAAATGCGGCAAAACTTTGCTCATTTATGTATATATACACTACATGGTCAAAACTACTATATGTGAACACCCCTTATAATAATGAATTGGCTATTTTAGACAATTTTTTAAAGCGTTAGTTCACCCAAAATGAAAATTCTGTCATCAATTACTCACCCCCATGTCGTTCCAAACCAGTAAGACCTTCATTCATCTTCAAAACACAAATTAAAATATGTTTTATGAAATCCAAGAGCTTTCTGACCCTACATAGACAGCAACACAACTGACACATTCAAGACCCAGAAAGATAGTAAAGACATTGTTAAAATAGTCCTTGTGACATCAGTGGTTCAACCTTAATTTTATGAACTGAATTTTTGCTTCGTGGTACTCTTGTGAACACGCATTGAAGACTGACACAGAAGAGAAGAAATCGTTGGATTATTTTTGCTTTCTTTGTGCTCAAAAAGTATTCTCATAGCTTCATAAAATTACAGTTGTACCACTGATGTCACATGGACTATTTTAACAATGTCCTTACTACCTTTCTGGGCCTTGAACGTGTCAGTTGCGTTGCTGTCCTATGGACGGTCAGAAAGCGCTCATTTCATCAAAAATATCTTCATTTGTGTTCTGAAGATGAAAGAAGGTCTTATGGGTTTGGAATGATGTGGTGCTGAGGTCACATGGACTATTTTAACAATGTCCTTACTACCTTTCTGGGCCTTGAACGTGTCAGTTGCGTTGCTGTCTATGGACGGTCAGAAAGCTCTCATTTCATCAAAAATATCTTCATTTGTGTTCTGAAGATGAAAGAAGGTCTTATGGGTTTGGTATGACGTGATGCTGAATAATTAATGACAGATTTTTCATCTTTGGGTGAACTAACCCTTTAAGTGGTAATGCTTATTTAAAGCTGAAAGTACCATTTCAAACTATTTTAATGATGCAGAATTATTTTAGCGCAGTCAGCACTGCCTTTGATTTGCCTACCATAAATTACAGTCTGGCTGAATGCTGCAGACTTGTGTGCTTTGCATTGGCTATCTTGGGCTTTTCAATTTCCCTAGTATTCCCAAACAGTCTGCACTACTTTGATAAAGAAGAGCGCAGATTTCTTACATGTGAATGAGGGAAAACCTCATACTGAAATGTTGTCCGCTGGCAGATAAACAAAAGGCAAATCTCGCAGCAGTGAGAGGTCAGATACACATTTTCAGGGCCATTACTCCAAAACTTCCGCTGTTTTCCATTCCACAGCTTTTTCAGTTCTGCGACACACCTCCATCCCTACTGCTTCCTCCGCTGAGAATATTCCTCACCGCTGTTCGGTCAGAGGAACAGAAACATGAGCCACAGTGTAACTGCTGCTTATCTTCATTTCCAGAGAGATAGACCAAAACGCAAGGAAAATATTAAGGATCACTAATCCCATTGTTACGGTCTCTGTTGACACATTGTTTTCCAGCAACTTCACATCTGTGTGCTTTTATGATACACAAGACCTTTGATGTTTTATTGCAATTCGGTATTTCAGCAAAAGAGGTTTTGATTTTTTGTTTGCTTTTTGTGTTCTAATCTTATAAAAAAAAATTTAAAAGGCTGTTATGACATGATACAACAGGCCAGGGCATTACAAAGGGGGGAAAATGTTTTTTTAAACTACAAATGTTTGGGGTCAATACGATTCATTTATTTATTTATTTTTGAAGAAATTAATATTTTTATTCAGCAAGTGTGCATTAAAAATGGATGACTGAAGTGACAGTGCAGGCTTACATTGTTACAACAACAAAAAAATCTTTTAAAAAATGCTGTTCTTTTGAATTTGATTAGAATCCCGGGAAAAAAAAAACATGTTACAGTTTTTGAAGGATCATGTGACAACTGAGTTAATGGCTTCTGAAAATCCAGCTTTGTCATCAAAGGAATAAATTATATTTTATAATGTATTAAAATAGAAAACAGTTATTTTAAGATGTAATAATATTTCACAATATTACTGTTTTACTGCATTTTAAAACAAGTAAATGCATTCTGGGTAAGCATGAGAGTCTTAATTAAAGCATCAAATCTTACACACTTTTGAACTTCAGTGTATATTTATATATACTGCAATATTTACACCTAAACACTTGTGTAGATGCTCACACAGAATAATATTATTTTGTTCCAAGCTTTACTTGGAATATCACTATCAATCCGTATACCTATAGAGTAGATTACTTTTGCAGCATATATAACCATTCTGCTTTTCTAAGCATTTTTTTACTTGACAGACCATGAAATTAGCAGATTTAGTCAGCTGTGAGTTAATTGTGTGTGTGTGTGTGTGTGTGTGTGTGGTGGCATAAAATGACACCAGGACATAGTGCTTACTTTATGTACATGACTTTTTTCTTGTTACACAATAGATGTAGATGTAGATGTGTCATTTGTTGATTGCTTTACAAAATCATCAATATGTATTGGAAGCCATTGCTGGCTGGCTAGAATCCTGTCAGCTAAGCTCAAGTAAAAAAATAAATAAATAAAAAGTGCCCATTAGTTAAAAATGTTGAACTGTTTCAATTTGCACTTAGACGTTTTATAAAGCCAGCACTTGACAATCTTTTTTTATATACTATTTTCACAAGTAAGTGGTGAATTTTTCAAAGCTCTTAGTACTCTCCTAACAACTCATCAAAAGGTCATTTTTTTATACAATATTACAGCATATTTGCAATTGACTTGGTATAATAGAAAAAATCGCCAAGTTTCACAAAAACATAGTGTTTCATCAATACATAGCTGTCATTTCATTTAATCGTACTCATTATGTAGTTAATGTTGGATAACTATCACAGGTATTATGGATTTAGGATGTCTATTTGTTCCTCAATTGATAGCTCTGCATTACAAAACAATAAAAAAAATCATTCAGCACCTCTAAGGGGCAGTTTGAAACATGTATTTTGTATTATTTGCTGTTGAATTAACTGCTGAACTACTATTACTAAACTGAAAGAAAAACAACTAAATCAAACTAAAACTTTTTGCAGCTTAGATCATGAAGTGCACTTTTTGAACAAGAGCTTTGAGATGTATTAGTGTCAGATGACAACAATTTATCTTAAAATATTACAGAAAATTTGATTCTTCTCATATGACCCCTTAAATTTAAGTAATAATTCAACAAAAAGTTAGTTCACTAGATTTGTATAGGTGTACCACTTACATGAAGTCAGTCTATTCAGTCCTCTATTCTGAAAGTGTAGTTTGTCAGGCCCTTGTTATAAAGTAGGCAGTCTGGTACTACCAAGTTTCAGGGTCGAGACAATCAGAGAGGCACTTGTTGTGTGGATTAACATTTGAGAAGTGATCCGGGCGCCGGATGCTTCTCTAACCCTGCTCAAACACAGAGGTCCTTTGGGGGTCCCTGATCTCTGAAGGTGGCCAGGCGGGTTAATGGGGGCCAGACAGGTGACACTGGCTCTCGCCCTATGATAATGACATGCCTTTGTTTGGCCGATGGTAATGTCTCTTGACAGGAAGAGGTCTCATCTAATCTCACCGCTGCAGTGCACACCGAGTCACAATAATTTCCAGAACTGCCAAAAAAAAACAAAAAAACATATTAGACGTTGTTTAGCATCTAAAAGCCATAGAAACAATTTTAGTTTTGGCAGCAGACGGTATTACCTCAGTATTCATTGGAGGAAGATTTATTTATTTATATTGCGATTGGGGACATTGAGGAGTGCTGTGAATTTTTACGCTTACTGATTGAACATAATGGAAATGATCATTTATCATTAAGCTGATTTCTTTTTGAAGATGAGATAGCAAATGGATTTTTACATTTCAATATGTTTGTATCCAAGTATTGAAGATGGATGTTTTTTACACTGTGCTTCTCCATATAAACACAAGGACTAATGATATTTTAAATCACTTTTTTATCCAAAATAACTTGTATTGGTTCAAGGCATTTTTCAGTCCCTGAACCCAGGAGTTGAACCCATGACCTTGATGTTGCAAGTGCCATGCTCTACTGTTTAAGCTACTGGTGCAATATTTACCAGTATGTAATGATAAATGTAGTAGAATCTAAATTATTAATACATTATAGTAAAGTTTGCAACCTATTATAATAATTAAAACATTTATTCAAAAAAGCATTTATTTTATATATATAGATTACAAAACAAATTTACTTGAAAAAACGACACTCAGGGACTTCAATGAATGTTTCAGTGATATAGCCAGTTTTAACTGATTTAATTCATCGAATGCATTTTTGCTACTGAAATTTAAATCCGAGGCAATATTAAAGTTCTTATATCATAAGGAATCAAATTTGCCTTGATCATGTGATAAGTGTTTTATTATGTACATAACTTAGTGATCTCAAAACATTCTTCATAGAGAGATTAATTGACACTAACTTGCAAAAACATATTTCGCAAAAAGGTAACTTCACATTTAAAGAGTGCATTTACACAAGTCTGTAAAGGCACAGTAGCAAAAAACACCCTGTTTTTCTGTTGCAGCTAATTTGTTTAGTGTTCACTGGAAACTGGAATCCATTTTTACCAAATACTTTTATAAATATTTTAAAATGTGAATATAAAAAAAATAAAAATGTAATCATTTTATATTTTTAGAATTGAATATGATTGTTAACGTGTGTTTTCTGTGAAATTCTGCTCTCATTTGCACTTTTTTAGTGTTTGGATTGGCCCAGTATTTTTCTTGTTTTATGCTGTAAGTGTGATGCACATATAAATCTGTTCTTTGTGTGATCTGGTTTTAAATGTCGGTTCTCTGTGTGTCTTTTTGTTGGGCAGAGAGCAGATGTAGGTCTGTCAGCCCTGACCATCACTCCTGAGCGGGAGAGCGTGGTAGACTTCACCACTCGCTACATGGACTACTCCGTCGGTGTGTTGCTGAGGAAGGCGGAGAGGACGGTGGATATGTTTGCGTGCCTGGCCCCTTTCGACCTGTCTCTGTGGGCTTGTATAGCCGGCACAGTGCTGCTGGTGGGCATTCTGGTGTATCTCCTCAACTGGTTGAACCCTCCCAGACTGCCGATGGGTTCGGTCTCCTCCACGACCCTCTACAACTCCATGTGGTTTGTCTACGGCTCCTTCGTTCAACAGGGTGAGTTTGTGCGTGAGCGTATGATATGCTTTGTGTTGAAAGAAGAAAGGAGATTCAAGAGTGAGAAAAAAGTAGAGATATAGAGAACAGCAGGGCAGAGAGATCATTTTAAGTGCTCACTTTCTGTTTAAAGTGTGTCTGTGTGTAATGGTAGATGTGTGTGAGTGTTTTGTGCACCAAAGAATATATATGACAAAAGGAGGAAAATACAGAAGGAGTCAAAGGAATGTTGAAATTATACGCAAATCATATCTGCACTTTCTGGTTTTCTTTCAAATTCTTAAAGGGTCAAAAGCTGTTTTTTGGACAAAAGATGGAAAGATCGAAGAGTGGGAGTAGGGAAAGGGGAGGGCTAGTCTTTAGAGAAATGGGAAATAAGAGAAAAGAAAGAAAGAAGGATGAGGGAAATTGCTTCAGTGGCTGTCAGGGTTTTGTATCCTCAACATGTTGAGCGAACATCAATTAATTACCAGCAATAGTTTGGCATGTTTTGCTACAGACGGTTTGTGAAAGGCCAATTCCAGTGTTACGCATGTGACATTTGCAGTCACAATGTGAAATGTAGTTTCTGAGAGAAAGTACTAATTATAGGAAACCATTTGTATGCATTTTTCTAAACCCCTGCAGATCTCTCTGTAGATTTCTTTCTCATTTTAGAGAGATTAACTTGGGGTATGGACAAAAATGAACATTTATTGTTTGTATGTACTCTGTGACTTCCAGAATCCAATAACAACAATACCTACAGAATGAAAGTTTGGCTCTCCTGTGTTTGTGATGATTATTGTCTTTTTAGGAAAATATGGACATTATTAGTTATAAAAGCCTCTAATGGGCTGTTCACTCAGGAAGTGTTCTCAATGTGTGCTTTTATTTAAGATTCATATGTGCCAGACAGATGTCCTTGACATCTATACACTACACAACTCTTAGTATAATGAACATGTTTGATATTGTGAGGTGTTTTCATTTGTCATGCATCTCCTAGCAATAAGGCTCATGTTTCTGCATAAATTTGCTGTGTTCTGAATGAACTGAAAGTCTGGTAGTGTGTGATCTTCAATTGTTTAGCGTATGATGCCCACATTTTTCTTTCTAACCATTTTAAAAAATGGCAAATGTACAATGTCTAGTGTTTTAACATCTGTTCTGATTTTAAAAGTTGTGTTGTGTATTCCAGACTTTAGTTTTACAACAAGGGACCACTTAGGACAGAATAAGCATTTTGAGCATTTCAAGTGTTTGCATTAGATGTAACAGTAAAAGAAAAATTACAAGTGATGCATAGGAGAAAATGTGCCTATACGTGTGCCTTTGGTTCAGTATTGTTTAATTTTTTATTTATATTTTTAAACGCAAGATTGTGTCCTTTGAAAATTTTCATGTAGATGGTGTGTAAACATGACCATGTGAGACACTTACTGAGAAGATAAAGTAAAAATCCCTATTTTTGAAACCATCAAACATAGCTTGTTTTATTGTGGTTGCACTAGTTGTGTTGGGGGTAAACAATACAATTTCCTTTAATAATTCCATTAGAAAGCATTAATACAGTCAAATTGAGACCTAAACAAGGTAACATACTTTGGGTAAACACTTCATTATCCAACAGAAAGGTTGACATTTGCATGGAATTGTACTTAACCAAAAATCAGTCAATTTACATGAGCTGGTTATAATGATGATGATTATAATAAGACAGCCTAATTGCTCCCTTGTATCTGGGTCCATTTCTGTTCAAATTGCAATCTCTGCTTCTTTTTGAAACACGCTCATTATGGTGAGAAATCAAAAATCAGTTCATTAATGCGCTTTCATCAGACCACTGAACCGGGTTCGGTATCTTTTTAGGATGAAATTGTTTAAATGGAGCTGATTACATACTGTGGAATAGGCTACGTCACCAGTAGGGTTGTGACGGTGAGGAAATTTTCCCACCGGTTAATCGACGTGTGACAACACCGGTTATACCGGTATCACCGCGGGGGCGGGGGCGTTCCCTCTTTTCCTCGCTTTCCTTCACTTTTAAATAGCTTAAAAGCGCCGTGTGCATTTTACTTTCACTTTCGAATTAGCGGCAGTTCGGTGTCAATTGCTTGAATGCAACAACAAAATACAACGTCAAACTCACTTTAGCCTATATATAAGACATATAACTTGTATTAACAAAACAAATAAAAATACACCATACTATAGGGCAGGCTATGCCTAATATAAAATAACAAATAACTTACATAAAGTTTAAATAGGTATACAAAACTGGAAATAGGCATATTAAGTATGTTTACATATGAAGTAAACGTATAATATATAACCAAATAAATAAGAAACGTAGAACGTTAAGTTATACTATATATAAAGATCTTATTGAGTTTACATTACAAGCTATCAGTATTTCATCTTACTTTTTGTCATATAAATATAAGCAACTTCACCAAATTTAATAAAAACTCGCATAAAAAACTGAAGTGTTTTTCCTCCTCGAGTATGAGCTCCATATTTTCCTATATCATACTGTATAAGCCATAACGGCATACACCTTGATGTCAAATAAAATAAATAAATGACACAAAGTTTAAATAAAGTAAAAATCAGCAAACAATGTGGAACCAATTAAATAAGAAACAAATGTTTAAAAAAACTTCCAAAATCACCTTAGATAAACGGCAAAAGTCAACAAGCTTTTCAAAATCCAAAATACTGCCAAACAGGCGCTTTTGCTTTTCGTTTTGAAACTAAATCATCCGCCATCATCTTGTCTGTCTCACTTCACTCTTCTTGTCAGTCAGCTCACTCACTCCCCTCACTGGATAAATGATATCTGATCTGTGATGCGACTGTCGTTCGGCACGCTGCATTGCACTGCACTGAACTGCGTTCAGTTTTTAATTGTAGTGTCTGTTCTTTTACTGAACTAAATTATTTTTATTACTATAAAAAAATCAAAACGACGGTGGGGGTCGGTGCCGCGGTGGGCAAGTGACATAACCGGTGTTGCGGCTTAACACCGGTATCACCGTCAGCACTGTCTATCGCGGCAAGCCTAACTGACACTGACAATACTGTATTTACAGCCTGTAAATAAAGGTTAGTCAAAAAAAAAAAGTCAAAGTTTATTTATAAAGCACTTTTTTAAAAAACAGCAAGTGTTTATCAAAGTGCTGTACACACATAAAATAATAAAAATGTCAAAGATACAAACAGTCAACAACACAAAAAAAAGACAATAAGACACCATAAAAACAATAGAAGAAAGCAGCTCTCATGTAGCGTCAAATGCCAGACTATAAAAATGAGTTTTTAGGCTAGATTTAAAAACCGCAAGTGTTTGAGCCTGTCTAATGTAGAGGGGCAAGCTATTCCAGAGCTTTGGGGCCGCCACTGCAAATGCTCGGTCACCCCTGCTCTTCAACTTTACCCGTGGGATAACTAAGAGCAAATGGTCAGCAGACCTAAGTGCTCTTAGCGGAGCATACAGCTTAATCAAGTCGGACAGATATTTAGGTGCTAAACCATTAAGAGATTTAAAAACAAATACCAAAATCTTAAACTGAATCCTAAAATGGACAGGTAACCAGTGAAGAGAGGCAAGAACGGGGGTGATGTGTTCCCGCTTTCGTGTACCCGTCAGCAGTCGAGCTGCCGCATTCTGGACCATCTGCAGTCTGGAGAGAGAGGCCTGACTAATACCTATATAGAGGCCATTACAATAATCCAGACGAGTTGAAATAAAAATATGGACGATTCTTTGAAAGTCTTTAGAAGACAGGAAAGATTTCACCTTGGTGAGTTGTCTCAATTGGAAAAAACAGGATTTAACTACCGAGTTAATCTGTTTGTCCAATTTAAAATCACAGTATATGATAACACCTAAATTTTTTACATGGGGCTTCACAAATGGTTTCAATTCACCAAGGTCCAAATCTGATAACTCACAAGTACCTCCCGGCGTAAACAGTATAACTTCTGTTTTATTTTCATTAAAATTAAGGAAATTTAGTGCCATCCAGGCTTTAATTTCCTCAAGACACTGTAATAGGGGTGCTAAAGAGCAATTATCTCTTCGTTTCAAAGGTAGATAAATTTGCGTATCGTCTGCATAACAATGAAAAGTAATACCAAATTTCCTAAAAATATGTCCTAAGGGGAGCATATACAGGGAGAACAAAATAGGCCCCAAAATGGAGCCCTGGGGGACCCCACACGTGAAAGAAGCAGTTGAGGAGACAAAGTCTCCAATACGAACTGAGAAAGTTCTTTCGGACAAATAGGATCTAAACCATCCCAACGCAGTACCCTTAATACCAACACATTGTTCTAAGCGTGTAATCAAGATCTTATGGTCTACAGTATCGAATACAGCCGAAAGGTCTAATAGAATTAAAATCGCACAGTCCCCTGAGTCAGTAGCAAGTAACAAGTCATTAAAAACCTTCAACAATGCAGTTTCTGTACTGTGTAAAGATTTAAAACCAGACTGAAACACTTCGTGAATACCATGTAGATCTAAACATAAATTCAATTGTCCAAATACTACCTTCTCCAGTAGTTTGGAAAGAAACTGAAGTTTTGAGATAGGTCTAAAGTGAGCAAAGACTGATGAATCCAAGTTAGATTTCTTGATTACTGGTTCCACTGCTGCATGTTTAAAAGACTTAGGTACGACTCCCGAGGCTAGGCTACTATTAATAATTGCAAGAATTTTAGGACCAATAGTTTCAAATGAGTATTTCAGAAGACAAGGAGGAACAATATCCATGCCGCAAGAGGAAGTTTTCATTTTAACAATGATCTCTCTCAATGAGGTAAGAGACACCGGCTCAAACTGATTAAAAACAGCAGAGCACTCAGTGGAAATGGGTAAAAAAAAGTCAATGGGAGAGAAATATTAGCTCTAACAGCCTCAATCTTATTGATAAAAAAATTAAAAAATTTCTCACACATTTCAGCAGAAGGCTCTAAACAAGTAGCTTGGGGAGTGTTCAAAACAGCATTAATAG